GCTTCTGTTTGTCTCTCTCTCCAGGTTAGAATCTCTCTCTCCATTGACACTGCAAGTCATGCATCATCAAAGAAGACCTAAAAGTTTTTTTTTTTTAATGAATAATTGTTGATTATGAACGGATAAACATGGTCACTATTGGTTTAGCACAAAATTAGAATGAAGGTTATGCATAGAAAGTCATCTAAAAGTTTAACTTGTTAAAAATGAACTTTCTTTCATGCAAGATGGATATTACTTTTCAAACAAAGGCGTGACCAATAATTCTTCTTTATCTTATAATCGAATGACAATAAAATGTGAAAATAAGTCTATTATTGCTCTGACAATCAAGTCAACTACAAGCGAATATAAAAACAAAAATATGGGTATGGCTCGAGATGAACATGGTTCGATATAGATGATTTTTGAACTATTTTCAAATCAAACTACTTTATCAACTTGAAAATTTTCCAAACAAGACCAAACCATTTTGTGCTGTTTGATTTAATTTCAAACCACGATTTCAGTGTCTAAAATTACCATCTTTCAAACAAGTGAAAAAATAAATATATTAGTCTAGAATTAACTATAAAACTTAGATTGAAACTCTCTTTTTTCTCAATAGAAGTTAAAACCAATAAATATATACAAGTTCAACTATATATTTAAGTTTGTGAATTCATTCTTTAGATAAGAAAAGTATTATCATAAAAAAATGATTTTTCTAAAGAGTCAATGTGAGTCGACTAGCAAGTAAATTTGTTGAACTATAAATTACTATAATATATATTATGTCTTGGATAAAAAAAGTGATTGTTAAAAAATTTGAGTGAACAGTTCAATTTGGTTTCAAGCACTATCGAAATCCAAACCACCATTTCCAAACGGTTTGATTTGATTCTGAAATGATAGCTACATAAATCACGACGATCCAAACTAACATTCAAATCTGTGATTTGATTCAGTTTAAGATTACATCCCTGATCTTTGAACCTTGCTTGTGTGAATGTCTAGGTTAAATTATGTTAAAGATGTTGCAAAGCTAATGTAACACATCATTCAAGATTTGTTATTCTTATGGTATTGTTTACCTCTAACTGTCCACTCATTTTTGTTAACCTTCCATTATGGTAATACATCTATGTTAATGGATAGTAAAAACTCCATACAATTGATCTTTTGAACCTGTTTCAAGCCACTAATGATTCTTGTAGTCCTGGAGTTTCCAGCTACATGAGAACCAGGAACAAAGAGTTTTCCCCCCTTCCCCCGACTCTTTGGTAATTACTTCTCTGATATTAAAATATTTTGGTAAATATTTAGATACTAATAAGAATGTTTACTTATCAAATATATTTGTGGACCCATGCTCCAACAATCGAAGCGACCATATAATAAAAAATAAAATAAAATTCAAGGGAAGGGGCTGCACCTACTAGCTCTTGCCCACTGAACTTAGTAGAGTTCGTCATCTCCATTTAAAGTTTTGTGAGGTTTGCCAATAAACTAAGATTAATTTAGGTAACATTTGTACAAAAGCCATGTGAGTTGCATAGTGATGTCGGCAAGTGTGAGGTGTGGGAAACAAGCGAGGCTTCTGGTGGTAGAATAACATTGGATTACGAGGCCTATGCTCTCTCTTCACACGAACTAAAGTTGTAATAAACTTGATATGGATATATTGATAATCAATGTCTAAAATACATTCTACTTCAACTTGTTATTTCAACAAGCTTTTTAATGATTCAAAATCGAGACAAGATTGAATCAAATGCTAAAATTTTGTAGTCAGACCATCAAAAATCTTAAGATATGTCAAAGAAGGCACAGATACATTATTAATTTAAATATTTATATTTAACATATTTTTTCACGTATAGGACAAAACATATAGTGTGAATTGGTTGACCTAGTTGTTCTGATATTATAAATGAAGTAGGAGTGGGCGCGTTGAACCGACCCAATTACCAATGGAAATTTTAGAAATGGAATCATTGGTTTCATAGTTAGCTATGGAATCGAACTAATCGGTTCCGATTCGATTCGATCCGATCCGGTTCTTTACATTGAAAATGTCAAAATAAAATATTCACTAATAAAAATCTAAAGATGCTACCAATATGATACTTTTAATAAAATATAGAAGAACTGAACATACTATTCAAAGATTAAAAAGACTATACAAATTTAAAAACAATATCTAAATAATATAAGTTACTATCATCAAGTAATCACCAACTTATATAAACTGTATAGTACTCCAATGATTAAAAAAACTTCCATCAAAATCAAAATCCTACATTGAATTGAACACCCTTTAAAAATTTATTGCAACTTCTAAGTTATAATTTGTAGAAATGTAGAGGAAAAGTTTTGATCGGATCAACAACTATGTAATCAACGTGAAAACAAAATAAAAATTCTGCATCTTAGAAACGAAATTATATATTATAAATAAATTTATTTAGATATAGATTTATCCAATATTTTAATTTGGCTTGAGAATCAATTAATCAAAGAATTATAAGAAGAGAGAATGAAAGAATCAAAGAGAAGAGGGAAAGTGCTGAAGTCTAAAATGAAGAAGGAACCCGATTATTTTTTATAAAAGTAATTGGAGATTGAGTCATATATTTTACCAAAAAAAATAAAAAGTCTTATGAGAACCGTTCGGTTCCCGACGATTCCCATACTAGAATCGGGAACCGGACTGGAACCGATTGATTCTTAATAATTTGTCCCAAAATCAAATTGGTTTTTAGAAGATTTGGAACCGAACCAGCTGGTTCTAAAAAGTTCTAGTCTAGTTCCACTGTTTTTGGGAAAAATGCCCACTTCTAAAATGAAGAACACAAAAACTATCTGATGAGTTAGAGTAAAAGACCTCAGAGCCAGAAAAAGCTCTCCCCTCACAAAAGGGGTTGCCAAGACTACACATACAATTATGGAACCTTAATATATTTACAAAGTTCATTATTCTTTGAAGAAGACCTCAATGACTTTTGTTTTCCATTATTATTTTAATCAACCTGTGATTATCTCAAATGCATTTTTTGTAAAATATATCACAAGAGACATATAATTAGGTGAGTTAAAAAGGAGTCCTAATCCTCAAAACCACAAGTTATCTTAACAAATAGTCAACCCCTTTGTCTCACCAAACCCATCTCTTTATTGACATCCAAGATTTTGACTTGGCCACCATAAGCATTGGAAAATTCACTTGCCTTCTCCCCTTTTCTCTCTACCAAATGTTTCGTGTCCATTATGTGCACTGCATTGTACGTATTTTGTACATTTCTCTGTTGGAATAATTAATAATTTCATATGTGAGCTTCACATTCGATTGCAAAATTTTACGGGTTAGATATATGGCTCATAATGATATTTGTGTTTGGGCCAAATTTATTAATTAATCAATTGGACCTTTTACACCTTACGGGTTGTAATTTATTTGATGTGGTAATTTAAAGTATGTGGGCCGAAAATAAACCCTAATTAGAATTTTAGTCGTAATGGGACGACTCAAATTATTTCCTATATATAAAGGCTAGGTCCCCTCTCCTCTCCATATGTTTTATTGGCTTGCCCCATTGATAGCTGATTTTTGTGAGGAGCAAGGAGGGAAAAATCTTAACTACTATTACAACTATAATTCATATCAATAATGGCTTCCGCAGGTATGAATTCGTTTTATTAATTTATTATATGGTGATTCTTGATTCTTGGCATGACTACAAATAAATATTAACATTCTATACACGTTTTAACTTTTTACCTATTCCCCAGTATTACATTTTGGACACATTCGATATACATTACATAGATAGTTTAATATTTTTTTCCTTTTCACAATACAACATAACAGATAGTAACATCCCACTTAGGTCTTCTTTTCTTTGATTTTCTTTCTCGTGAAAACTAATTGTACAATCGAGTAGGATAAGACGCGCCAATAAATAAGACAATGGACAAACCAATATTTTGCATTAGATATCAACTGTCACAAATTAAGAAACCCGTTACCATTACACAAAATAGTTTAAACATATGAAATATGCATACGCTAACACTTGCCACATTGTATATTCACCTGGCACGTGTGACCAAAGTCAAACGTACGTGAGAAATTGGCCTTTATTCGATGAGATCACGTGCCGTTTACTAAGTACACAACAACATTGGGATATCGATCGTGAGAAACACTGATTTTTTTGTTCTCTCTCATGAAGACCAAAACCTATTCAATTATTTTCTTCCCATCAATCGAACACATAAATGAGCAGAAGAAGAAACCAAATACTCTTCCCTCATACAATTCCAAGCTAAGCTTATAAGAACACGATATGTCAATAGAGAATGCTCTGCATAATTCATATAACCATGACATTTTTCTAGTAAACATCTGTGCCAGATTCACGAGCAATAACTCCCACTTATGGTAGAGTCGTGAAAAGATTTAAACAAGAGTCGAGCTTCGTTCATGCATTCCAAGTCTAGTCAATATCCTAGTATAATATTGATCAGGAGACAGAAAGCAATATGCCCTCAATTTCTCCTCTCTTTTTTCACTCAAAAGCAAATACAAAAACCGAACATATTAGCCTTCACCACCAGATGCCCCAAGCTTCATAAAGTGAACACCACAGAAAAAGAAAAAAATATTAATTTTCATCCACTCCATGGTAGAGCACAAGATGTAATTGTTATTAAAATTGCAGAGTATTTAGTATAAGATAGCGCCAGAGTATATGGTAGATATATGCCCGACTATATAATGTGAAGCTTAACAGCATAGTGCAATATTATCCCATCAAATTCAAGAGACCGGGAATCATAAAAAACATCCACGTCCCTGCACAATTAAACAAACATGAAAATTTCAGAAATAAGTAATAAATTATAATTTACTTTCTGGCACTGCAAAATATCGGTCTCTGCGTACAATATGTAAAGTTTGTGCTACCAGTGGTGTGTCTAAAGGCATATTATTGCACTTTATACCATGAGAACTCATGTGAAGAATACAAATATCAAACATTCCATTATTAACATGTGCGTTCTTGTGACTGAAATCCTCTTAAGTAAGCTGACAAACCTTCTGAGTAAAGTTAGAATAACTTTTCAATGAGCACGTCATTTCAGATTCA